AGCAGCGTCTTCCTCCACGCAAGAGTGGTCCGATTGTCGAGTGGGCTGCCTTCACCGAGCTGCCCTACTTGCTGTTCGCGATTGGCATGTTCATGAACTTCTGGGGCCTGTATGTTGGGTTTTTCTACATTGGCAGTTTCAGTCGTAACATAATCGGTGTCTCAAGCGATCGATCCATTGATTTACTCCTGGTCATGAATGGAGTCGGATTGGTCGGGCGATTGGTCCCCAACCTGCTTGCTGATCGGTACACCGGTCCTCTTAACCTGTTGATCCCATTCAGTTTTGCGACGGCCTTGGTTGGCTACTGCTGGGCGGCAGTCAACGGTATGTCCGGACTGTGGACATTTGCCACCTTTTATGGACTCTTTGCTGCGGGTATTCAATCCTTGTTCCCAGCGACCCTCAGCACCCTCACGACTGATATGAAGAAGATCGGTGTTCGTATGGGTATGGTACTCAGTGTGGTGGCAGTGGCAGCCCTTATAGGGTCTCCTATTGCTGGTGAACTAGTTATTCGTGATGATGGCGACTACCTGTATGCCCAAATGTTCATGGGATCTGCGATCTTACTTGGCGGATTGACCTTGATTGGGGCACGAGTGACCAAAGTGGGCACTGGTTTGGCTCGAGTTTGAAAAGTTAAGATATTATAGTATAGAGTATATATAGATATATAGATATATAGATATATAATCTAATAATCATGATCATAGATATACCTTAGGTATATGTTGTATATAACAAAGTAACAAATCAACGAGTTGTGGTTTGACGAGAGAGAGAGAGAGAGAGAGAGAGAGAACCCCACATGTGATTTTAATGCGAGCGCGGTGACTCGCGGTGACTCGCAGTGAACTCGCAGTGAACTCGTGAAACTCTGCCCTTTCTTTTTTCCAATTGTTGATCTTTTTTAATACATTTGGAGGGTCTTTGCAATACTTGATATTCTTTAGGTAGGTCCTTTTGGTCCTTTGGATCCTTTTTTTATTCTATTCTATTCTATTCTGGCGAACTGTTAAGGCGACATCCCACCTTTGCCCCTCCATTGTGTGCGAAACTTGCGAAAACCTCTTCAATGAAAACATTGAACTCCGCTAACTCGTTCTCAATATAGAATTATACATTTTACTCGAGCCTCTTTTTTTCAAAAGTTCGCAAAATAGTTCCTACATATCAATATGGCACCCCGTGGTCGTGGAGGAAAGTTCTCCAAGCCTACTCGTGGAGGTATGTCGTGTGTGTGTGCGCGCGTGTGCACCTGCAGAATACAAGATACCTGAAAGCTGATCAGATAATGAATAGGAGGCAAGCACTTTAGCAGAGATCTCCAACCATTAGACAAGGATGGTAACCAAATGGGTCTCTGGCGGGTAAGTGAACTTCACACTCCCAATTCAATTTCCACAGCACCCCTAACCATGTTATTTCTTTTATAGGAACCTGGTGAGCAAATCAAGTCATCGGGCGATGAAGATTCTTCGTCTGAAGAAGAAAGCTCCGAGGAATCCAGCGAGGACGAGTCCAAGCCCACCGAGTCATCCACAGCTGCCGGAACCCGCGAGGAGCGCCGCGCAGCTGCCAAAGCTAAGAAGGCCGCCGCATTGAAGAAGCGAGGCCAAGGACCCGCCCAACCGGGTGACTTACCCCCTTCAGACTCGGAAGAATCCGACAACGAGCTTCCCGCCAACCCCAACCATACTGCCAAGTCCCGCTCGCAGACCCTGAAGCCCGTCGAAGAACCCACTGCTGAGCCCAAGAAGCCCGCCAAGGTCAAGGATATCTCACAGTTGTCCCGACGTGAACGGGAGGCCGTCCAGGCCCAGCAGGCCCGTGAACGTTACCAGAAGCTACATGCCGAAGGTAAGACCGATGAGGCGAAGTCGGATCTAGCTCGTCTTGCCGTTATCCGTGAGCAGCGTGAGGCGGAGCGCTTGCGCAAGTTGGCGGAGAAGGAGGAGAAGGATGAACAAGCCAAGGAGCGTGCTGATGCTGCTCAGGAGCGGGAGGACCGTATGCGCGCCGCAGCTTCAGGAAAGACTGCTAAGAAGGTTGGTGGAAAGAAGAAATAAGCTCGTGGATATCGTTTTATATGTTGGTCATGACTTGGATCGAATTGTTGTTTACACATCTAGACAACAAAAAAAAAAAAATTACAAAACAAACATCACATTGGGCATCTGGAATCACTCAGGCAGTAGAAAATATACCCAATCATGGAAATTGAAATCATGTACACCGACGCCCCCTAACATTAGAGAAACACCTCAGTTTTAGGCTGGCTTTCCTGGGAAATATATGAGCCGGTCACCAAAAAAAAAGAAAAGAAAAGAAAACGTATTTCGAGTTTCATACAAGGGACCGAAATCCCCAGGGAGAGAATAGATAGCCAGGGGAAAGAGGTCTATTTGCGAGGAAGCTTGATACTTCACACGCCCCAGAACAACCCCTTAACACTGTGGCCTTGCATGACAATGCCCCAACCGGCAATCAAGCTAACTAGCCACATAACGGCGAATATGAGGATGGGCACAAGTAGAAGTTCTGTGTTGTGCAAGAAGGGAAGAGCATTGTACCCTAGGAATGTGATATAGGTGTAGTAAATGAGAGCAGAGAGGTAGAGTGAGTTTCCGAGGAAAGTAGCCAGGAAATCACTCGGGCTACGGGTGAGGAGCGGTAGAAGAAGGAACTGCACCACGTAGAGGTGGAGATAGAGAGGAAAGAAGGCCCGGTTGGATACCTATACAAGGATAGCGTCAGAAGGTCAGAAATACCACAGTATTTGTGGCAAAAAGTCTTACATCAAAACAATATCCAAACTCCAATTGCTCTTTCTCCCCTGGCTGGGTAAACAATCCCTGGGCAGCACCTCGTCTTCGGCCACGGGAGCCCCGCAGGCCAGCCAGAGAGGCAGCAGCTCCATTTGGACCGAATAGACGGCCAATGATAAAGTATCCAATTGTCGAGACGAGCAGTGAGGAGCCGATGAAATGCACGAACACGAAGAGGAAGGTGAGGCGTATGATTGCACCGAAGCCCGGCCTATAAGCGAGGCCCCATGCGAAGGCCGTGAGGAGGAGGAAGAATGATAGTAGGTAGGTGAATGACGGATCAGGCCGGTGCCATGTGTTTTTGGTTTCTGTTCTCGGGCGTCAATAGCTGCTCATTTAGGGCCACAGTAACTGTCATTGTGAAGGATTGTATGTGTTTGTTTGATCGAGGCACGACCCGAGCTTGGAATAAGTAGACTCACGTTTCTAAATCCCGAGGCGGGGGGGCATGGTCAGCATAGTCGGAGGGCCAAGCCAGTTAGGGTAGTCAAGACCACTTACATGGTAGTATATCGATTTGAAGACCTTTTTGGGTGCGATCAACAAGGAAGTCATTTCCCAAATGGCCATCTCAAAGTCCATTTGTGGAAATTTGAAGAGCCTATCTCACATCAGTGATTGTTTCTCATGTCGAGGTTCTTTGGGTCCTACCTCTTGAAGAAGCGCGGCATTCGGACTTTAGACCGGGTTGCGGGCGTTGAGCCGAAGTTGGCAGGGCCGACATGTTGGCGGGGCACGGAGATGTGAGGGTTCATGATCTTAGACCCCGTTTTCGAGAAGGGAGATCAGTCTCGGGGCATACACAATGCAGTCCGGTTCCAAGGTTGTTGTATAATTGTACGTGTATCCGATGCCAAGTTGGGCCTGGTTATGTCATCTTGGTCACGTGTTGGGTATATCCCTGCACATGTGGTCTACTTACGGAGTACATAACTACCTAGGTAACTAGTTAACTACGATTATGTATGTTACATGTACATTTAGTTTCCAACACACTATTCTCTATAATATACTCTCTCATCTGTTCGAATTCAAAGTTTAGATAGATCTTCACTCATGTATCTTCCGAACGAGTGTCATTCCCGCTGGAAAAGGGTTCCTAACTCGATAATCCACTCTGTAAGGGGCTAAAGGATACATACATGAGTACGGAGTACATAGTTAGTTATAGAGTAAGAATGGATAAATAACCATAATGTCAATATATATATCTCAGACTTATAAGCAGTACTCCTCTATTAGTACACACATATTCAACTATTTAGTTAAATGTCTATAACTATAGTTAGTTATATGTTGTCTACGGAAGTCAATATCCGATATATAAAGTAGCTCCATTCCCCCACGGCTCCACTTGTGTACTTTTTACAAAATTGTATGAGAACGGATTATAAGGCCTGTAATATTGATATATTGATATATTTTTATATTTTTATAATGGTATAGATCTATAAGCATAAGCATATACTTAATATATAACTAATATATACTAACTAGTACGTAAATTAATAGGTATAACTAGTTACAATGTATAACTACGTGAAACCCCTGAATCGGTGCGCTGGCACATCCTAAAAACTCAAGTAATTTCCCCTGGAATATACAACATACAACATACATTTCTATTCAGTTTCATAATATAACTATTGCAATCTCTCTTATTCAATACTATATGTATATATATATATATATATATATATAAAAAAAAGAAACAACAAAAAGAAAAATACCAGTCCCACCGTTCACCGGAGTTTAAAAGTTCCCCGTCAAACCTCCGATTCTCAGGAGTTTGTTCCACCCCGGTTTCTTGTTTCTCTCTACATTACTGCCCTTACCAACCTTCTACATTCCTTTTTCTTTTTCTTTTTTTTTTTTTAAAAACATTTGAAACATCCCTTGCTTCGTGGGACAATGACCAAGTGAATTACCCTTCAATCCGTCAAATCGGATATTGCAGTTCGAGACCATCCGTTTATCCAGAAACCCTCTCCCAAATCACTTTGTGAGACCTGCAAGATATCAGGTACGTCGCAGCAGACCTATGTGGTACCACTGGTTCTGATTCCCCTGGATCCCAACTATACTACAATGATTCTGCCCTTCCCTTCACGTGGATGGGAAATAACCAGCCTAGAATACAATAATTAACTAACTTCTGTTAGCGCAATAATGTCCCAACGGGCAGACCACTCTCCTCCCCATACACCTCCCTCCCAAACCGCGAGATACAATCCCTCCAAGCGTGGGTACCCAGCTCGAGCATCCATCCGTGATGCTTTCCCAGACGTCATGGATAATCCCACGAGAACCAGTGAATCGGGAGATGATCGAGACCCGCATGATCTGTCTCTATCCCCGCAACATGCTACACGGACGTCAATCGTCGATAACATGCTTCTTTCGCTCGATCAATTCGCCCCTAGTTCATCTGTTCTAGATGACTACCGGCTTTTCAATTCCGCATTCGAAACCGACCATAACAGCCGTTACTCGCAAGAATCTGATTCGCATGGCCGATACCGCGGACACACATTCTCCTCATCAATGTCCTCAGAACCGGATTATGGATACGAAGATGGGAATGGCCGCTATGCAACAATAATGGCGACCAAGGGCCGGCGCAGCAACAGTAGCTCTAATCACCAGCCGACACCGAGGCAGATCGGAAACTCGCGTGGTGGTACCGGTACCGGAACCATGCCACGAACAAACACTGCCCGAAAAGGCAGCAAAGGAAGCTCATCCTCCGCCGCGGACTACTCTTATACAATTCCCAGAGCACGAACGGATCAAGGCTTGGGCCGACGCTCAGCCAGCTTCGATTGTGGGCCAAAACGAGCGTTCGCACCTTATACTGATTCCAGTGTCGGTCAGGACTCAACGCTGTACGACGATCACTATGCTGCACCTACCCCGAGCGTTCCGGCGGGACCGCGAAAGGTTCACGATTATAATAGAACACCAACAACTGCTGCCGCGCGGACACCGGTAGCATCGCGGCGGAATAGTATAAAATCTGCTCATGCCCCTCAGATTCGAAAAGTTCGGCCTGAAAACATTGGTACAGGGACCATTAGAGCTCGGGACAATGACTTCCAAAATATGGATGATACGGAGCTTGACCCCCTCCGGCCATCACGGCATCGTTGGATCCTCCTGCTCCCAGCCCGACCATCTCCTATAACAAGCCGGCCTTTCCTCCCCCAGAACCAACGGCAGCTACCACAGTTTCAACCAACATCCCAACCAACGTCCCCATCAACCATCCTGCTCCAAGCACAAAAGACCGCCCGGGCTTCTTCCGGCGTGTCTTTGGATCAAAGTATCCGTCCCCTGTACCCGCAGATGCAGCAAGTATAAATGCCACCGATCCATCACACCCACAAGAAACCGAAAGGAGAGAAATCAATGGGACTGCTAGCCCGAAGGCACGACCTCAGCAGGCAGCCAAGAACTCTGCAGGTGCTTCTCCGTCCTCCGCTCGCACAGGACCCCATCAGGTCGTGAATAAGAAATCTTCGTTCTTCCGTAGACGGAAGAGATCGGTGCCTGACCATGCGCCTCCACCAATTGTAATTCCTCAACATCTTGCACCACAGACCATAGATACTATGGTGGCTCCAAGTCCCGTGAGCAGCCTTCGGCAGGTCATGAATCCTTACCTCGACGAAGAATTAGACCAGAAAGAAAATGCAGACTGGGAGGCCAAAATTCGACAACCGGCATTTTTACAGGCGCAGAAGAAAAGAGAAAGTGTTTCAGCTCCCGGGGCTCCCAAAACGAAGCCTTCTCTTCAGCCATCTGCTGCCTCTCGTGGCCAAGACCTCTCGCCCCTTGCAGAGAAGGATCGATCGTCGAATGGCGAAGCCTCCACAGACAATGCCTTGCAGGAGAAGTCTCAGAATGTTGCTGCTTCTGCTACTCTGTCCCCCGTCGCGGAGGACTTTTCGCGCAGAATCAAACCACAGGTCGATATTCCTCAAATCAATGTAGCCAGATTAGCGCTTCCATCTGAGGACAGGGATTATGAATCTCCCGTTGATTCTATATCAACAGCATCAAACTATCAGACTGCTGCGAACACCCCACTTATTGAGCAGGAAGAGTCTCAAACAGAGGATGATACCGATGATCAGACAGACGGACCTGGTGAATCTATTGAAGATGGCCCTACGGCGGCAGACCGTGAACAAGCTCAAAGGCTCTTCGACAGCCAGGATCAGGTGGTAGGCAACGAGCCTGCTGCCGCTTGGCTGGGTGACCCGGGTCGGGCAATGGTTCGCGAAGCATACATGCGACTGTACAACTGGTCTAATCTCAACATTGTTGCCTCGCTTCGGGCTCTTTGTGATCGTTTGGTGCTCAAGGGAGAAACTCAACAAGTGGATCGAGTGCTGGATGCCTTTTCGACTAGATGGTGCGATTGCAACCCGAGTCATGGCTTCAAAGCTACTGATGTTGTCCACACCATTTGCTATTCTATTTTGCTACTCAACACTGATCTGCACTTGGCCGACATTGATTCAAAAATGACTAAATCCCAATTCGTTCGAAATACCATGCCCACTATTCACCGAGTGGCAATGGATGCCGCACCGGAAGGATTTGAGACATTACGTCCAATCAACCGCTCCAAGACCCAACCCCATGAAGCGCACTCTGCTCCTGCATCCGCACGATCTGCAACTTTTCCTCCAGAAGTCACCCACAGCTCGTTTAATAACGAGGGTGATGCCAATGTCGATGCTGGGCCTTTGGTCAACACACCATTCACTGGAACAGTGAGAGCCTGGGAGCAACAAGTTGAAACGGTACTGAAGGAATTCTACACCTCCATCCAGAAGCAAAAACTGCCACTGTTCGGTGCTCAACCAGAACGTGAAGTATCTCGCATGTCGTCCAACAACTTTTTAGGCCCCTCTAGCGGTACCCTCCGTAGGAGTCCCAGCACAATTAGCAAGAGTGGTTCCGATATCTTCCCTCGCGGTCGTTCTGCCAATTCAAGCCATGGAGCTGCGCGATGGTCATCCAAACCCCGCTCCCGGGCTGGGAGGCTTTATCCTCCGTCGATGATGGGCTCCAGCCGTACCAGCCTAGACGACCAATCATCTGTCTGGACTCCGACTGGGTCGAGTACCTGGAGTAAATATTCTTTGGGCAAGTTCACTTCAGCGTCTGTGGACTCTTTTGGCTCAGACTTCCCTCGTGGCGAATACCAACAATCTATTGGTTTTGCCAATGCTCTGAGTCAGGCCATAATCAGGGAGGACTCTGCTCCCTCGGTATATAGCTATGAGGAACCCGAGCGAACGACCCCTCTGCTTGAAGATGACACGTTGGCTCTAGCCGGAGCTCCGTGGGCTAAGGAGGGAAGCCTGAAGCATAAGCATCACCTAGATGCGGTGGACAAACGGGCGAAGGACCGGAACTGGAATGACTGTTTTGCGGTCATACAGCAAGGCTGGATGCGTCTTTTCTCGTTCAACAACTCCACCAAGTCGATGCGGCAAAAGGCTAAGCAACCCGGCGGGGTTATAGTCGGTGGCGGCAACTGGACGGAAAATGCAGAAGAGCTTTGGAAGTTTATGCTGCGCCAAACCATCGCCAGTGCCTTACCATCGCCTGGATACTCCAAGTCTCGTCCTCATGTCTGGGCCCTGAGTTTGCCTACTGGGGCGGTTCATCTCTTCCAAGCTGGAACGCCTGAGATTGTCCGAGAATTTGTCTCAACGGCCAATTACTGGAGCGCGCGACTATCCAAGCAACCACTGGTAGGAGGCATCAGCAACATTGAATATGGATGGAGCGACAGTGTCATTAACAGCGCGCTGATCGGCGGTGAAAGTCGATCCCCGCCGCCTTCGTCAGGCGCACGGCCGAGTATTCAAAGCTCCATCCGAAGCTCCATCGATCATCAAGGCGTGCGACCCCGACTTCCCGCCGATCGGGTCAACATCAGTGACTGGAGCCCACCGCAGCAAAGTATGGTCGCCTCCAACTTGACAGAGGAGGAACAGTGGAAGGCTCTGCAGGCATATGTGCAGAACGTGGAGGATGATCTCTCTCGTCACAATGAACTGCGTTCGGCGATGAACCTTGCATTCTCTCCACGCCACCCCAACGCCGCTAAAGCCATGGCAAACTGGGAACGGAAATCATCATATCTGTTGCGTGAGATAGTTAAGTTCCGCACATATATTGACTCCCTACGCAACGCCATCGGCTCCAAAGAAAGAATTTTCGCTTCCACCAACTACTCTCAAGAGGATGGGGAAGCAACTATGGAACCCACAGAGTCTGTAGCGTAATTGCAGACTCTTCTTTTTCCTTGCCTTCGAATGCACTGGCTGTACTCCCCCCCCATATCCCCTTTCTTCTTCTTTTTCTTCTTCTTTTTTATGTGACTTTTGTTTGATACAACTTTGTCTAGTATACCTCCTTTCCTTCTAATGTTCTGTGATGGCGTGGATTACTGATTATTCCGTTTAATGCTTGGGACGGTGATGTGATGCTATGGATACCATGATTGTCGTTTTTACATATGAATATCATCGATTTGTATATGTCCTATTTCCTTCCAAGTTGTATATATGTAAACTGTATAACTAGTTAACCTTCTAGTTAACTAGTCTGCTTAACTATGTACAATGAAGTGATATACTTGTGGTTGTGGCATTAATGTATTTGGTGGTAATAGTGCGTGACAATACCACTACATAATTGTACCTGGCCGTGTCCATTACCATTGTATACTAACAACTTGCTCTTGCCCGATGACTTTCCAATATGTTCGAATATTGCAATTTAGACCTTTTCACTCCTTGATTTGAATCTCTCTCTCTCTCTCACACACACTCTCTCTCTTTCTTTCTCTCGTCCAACTTTTCTTAACTTGATATACTCAAATACCACAATGAGCGCTCATTCGCCGATCGAAGCGGGTAGCGAACTGCAGGGAGTGGATACCCAAACACCGGGCGTCATCTCCCCCGTTACAACTACAGTGCGCACCCCCTCTGTGTTGGTATTCCAGACGCCAGATCAGACATTGAATGATCTCAGTTCAGAATACTTCATGGCAGAGGACGTACCGGGGGTCTCCCCCGAACTCAGTAACCCACTCGGAATACGCGCAACCTCCTTCAGAGCCGGAAGAAGACCAAGACCAAGACCAAGATCATGAACATCAACATGAAGACCCTGAATTTACCATGACATCGACCCAACTAGATCTAGATGATCACAGCTTTATTCCTTCCTCCGTCGATCGCGACGAGAGCAGTCCATTCCATCCATCGAGCGAAAATGGCGACCACGAACGCGGCAACAACCAAACCTTAATCGAAGAGCACGAAATGCGCCGCAAACTGATGGACATTGAGTCGAGCTTTCTGCCGGAGCCCTCAACAATTGACGTGGCTGCGACCGGTCCTGCTGCTGGCGCGGATGATACCTACTTGGTTGGGGTTCCAAAGAATAATGTTGCAGACACCACACAGGACTCCTCACAGCTCTCATTCATTCAACCAGCCGAGACAAACCCGATGGAAGACGAGGGACACAGCGAGGAGGAGCGGCCGAATACGAATTTGGACTCGGCGCCCGACCCTGCAGAACAACATGCGGACAATTCCTTGCTTGACTCCCTCTCCTCGTCACCTACGGCAGCTGCAGCGCTACGCCGAAATCAATCCACATCGTCCGATAATGCGCGAGAAACCACCCATCTCTCTCAGGATGAGCGCCCCTTTAGATCGGAATTTTCTATGGCCGAGAATGAATCGCAACTCACTCCCTCGAAGCTTCGAAACACCTCCCGCAGCCTGTCGCCCGGTACGTCGCACCTATTTAGTGATCAGAGCGGTAGTGCTACTGGTAGTCGTAGAGCCAGCCGACCCAAGTACCTGACTAGTCGACAATCAGCCCATCGTCTCTCACATTCATCGGTCGCAAGTAACAACACTGAAACAACCAACAGCGATGCCACACTGGGCGCAGACTATGCTCTTCAAACCGGAGGCGCGACATCTGACAGCTATGGAAGCTTGCACCCTGGAAGGCGTGCGCAAATGGCTAGGACAACTAGTCTTGGTAGCATGGCATCTGGGATCTCCGGGTACAGCGAAGAAAATCCACTGGAGAAGAGAAATACGCCTGGTCCAACAGATGGCGGCCTACATACGCTGGAGGAGGAAGGCTCACCACCGCATTCTCGTGCCGATCCGGTTGAACACGAAGACACCTCAACACCAGTGACGCCAAAGGCGAAGCCACAGGACAGCAATGTTCCTACGGATACTGCAATTGCTGAGCGGGTTAAAGGCATTCAAGTTCCCACCACCTTTGCACAACGGTTCCGGGAAGACTTCCAAGCATCCCCGGAGAAGCGTTTAGGGGCCTCGACCCCTGCATTTGCGAAAAGTGGCCGGAACTTGACCCTCAAGGAACAGAGCAGCACCATTGATCGCCTGGCGAAGGAGAACTTTGACCTGAAAATGCGAATCCACTTTCTCAATGAGGCGCTGAACAAGCGATCCGAGGAAGGCATCAAGGAGATGATCTCGGAGAATGTTGAGCTCAAATCAGACAAGGTCAAACTCTCAAAGGACAACCAAAGCCTAAGACGCAAGATTCGGGACTTGGAAAAGCAAGTGAAAGACCATCAATCGGACAAGGACTCTATGGTCAATCATGACCCCGAAGGATCAGAGGAAGGTGATCGCGACTCGCCCCAAGATGAAGAGATTGTCTTCCTACGCGAACGGGTTGAAACATATGAACTCGAGATGGAGCGTATGAGGTCGGAAACAATTGCACGAGAAAGTGAGAAGCGACGGTTGGCCGAGATGGTCAAGTCGCTCAGCGATAATCGCGCGGGAGAGTCCGATGCAGGCGCGAGAGAAGAGCGAGTAAGTCAAAGTCAGATAGGCACAAAACAATCGGATCAAGCTAATAAGATATGCAGGAGATGTGGAAGGATATGCTCGACGCGGAAACCTCAGCGCGAGAGCAAGCCGAGGAAGAAAATCGAAGACTCCGGGCTGAGTCGATTCGTTTGCGGAGTGAGATGTATTCCGTCACAAAGCCTGGCCAATACGACTCTCTTTCGTACACATCTGATAGAGATGGCAACCGAGTTCCCACCGCCCCCAACAGCACGCTTGTGGTAGAGTTAGGGCTCCTTAAACAGGAGAACGCAGAGCTAAGAAAAGAAGTTAGTGCTCAGACTTCAATGCTCACATCTCGCAACCGAGAAAAGGAACGCCTTTATCAGGAGATCGAAGAATTAAAACTCGGAGAGCGTCGTCATGTTGGCCGGTCCATAGCTGGAGATAGTATCTTCGACCGTTCTGCCTCACGCAGTCATATCCGTCCATCTTCCCAGGCTAGCGACGGAACAGGTATGTCACGCAGCGACATGGACCGCGATGAACTCGAAGCCCGGAATGGACAACTCCGGGACCTAGTATCCACCCTGAAGCTTGAGAATCAAGCCATCCGAGCCGAACTTGAGGACTATATTGGAGAACTAGAGGCTCTTGACAAAGCATACCAGGCTGATGTTGATCAAGCGGAGGAAGAGATGCAAAATTTACAGCAAGAACGAGATCAGGCCGTGCATATGGCGAACGAACGAGATGCCGCTTTCCAGGACCTGCGGGCCGAAGCGCAGGAAGAGTTGGATACACTCGGAGACGAACTCGATCAGAAGATTGTAGAGTGCCAGCGCATGAACGAGGACCTAAGAAATCAGGATGAAAACCTCAGGGTTTTGCAAGCCGAGATGCGGTCTGCCAGCGAAGGCATCATCCGTCTTGAAGAAGACGCGCAGAACAACCTGGCCGCATACAAATCTGTGCAACAAGAGCTTGAGGAGACCAATCGCGAGATGGAGTCTATGGAGAAGAGCCTATTTGAGGCCAACACCAAGGTGCAGCGACTGACAGTGCAGATTGAGTCAAGCCAGAATGAAATTGCTTTCCTTCGTGAAGAGCAAGACGGCGATAAGATCCGCATCGGAGACCTCGAATCGGATCTCAAGAACTACCACATGAGCTTGGTCAGCGAGAAAGAGAAGACTAGAGAACTCGAACAGCGCTTGGCAGACGAACGTCACCAGCGAGAGGTGGTTGGAAGCAAGGAGAAGCAAGATGTTCAGCGTATCATGAATGAATTGAACCGCGAAGCTTCAGCCTCCAAGGAGGAGGTCCGACGTCTAAAGAAGAGCCTTTCAGCCCAGGAGATTGAAACCTCCACCTGGCGAGAACGGTTGATGGACCTCGAAAACAATTTGAGAGAAACTCTAGGTGACCTCAGCGGCAGTCGGTCTAGCTTGATCACCAATATCATGAAGCTGCAAAAGGAACTCGAGTCGACCGCCCTTGACTTGGAGAGCATCCGCTCGCAGCTAGACGAGAAAGAATCTCTGCTTCGAAACCGTGACGCTCTGCTCGAGAGTCATGGACTTGAGTCACGCAAACTCTCGGAACTCTTGGATCGCGAACGGCATGCGCGCCGAGCTGACAAGCAGTCGTTCGAATCGTCGCTCAAATCTCATCAGCAGGCATCCCGGACCATTACACAAAGCAATTCCCGCATCACAGATCTGGAAAAAGCACGGACCGAGGACCGCAAAAGATATGCATCGCTAGAACAGCAATTCAAGGACCAGCTTAGTGAGAGGAACGCCATGTTCCTTAACATTTGGAAGAGAATATCGGGGCTTTGCGGGCCGGACTGGGCGCACTCCAACAGTCTTATCAATGGCAATCTTCCGAGCCAGGAGGTCATTGGTAATATTTTGTTCTGGCCGGGTTTCAGCCGCAACCTTCTGCTTGCAATGAAGACTGTCGAGGCCGTGATGGCAAGTTTCAAGACTCGCATCAAGAGCATCGACCACGAGTTGACTAAGCGTTATCATACGCTTGAGCTGTCATATAACGGACGGATCAAGAAGCTCGAGCGCCTCGAGGAGGCTTTGAAAAATATACGATCTGATCGCGGACAGTCGAGCTCCACTCCGGAAATGTCTAAATTGCGTGGCGAGAACCGTCTGCTGAAGGCTGAACTCAATCTACTCCAATCCAACTCGCGAGGACAGGGTCCTGCATCTGCGGCTGCGGCTGCAGTCATGGCATCGGGACCCCGATCCCCTTCTTTGGCGTCAACAGCAGAGTCGGAACGATCCTTGGGACGTTCTAGCTCAACGGTTGGCACTGAAAGACCTCGCCCCGAGAAAGGCCTCGCTCGCGCTGCTACGGGACTTCCGCAGCCCTCTCACTCCTCTTCTAGCAGCACACTGACCAAC